TCCTTCCTTCCTTCCTTCCTTCCTTCCTTCCTTCCTTCCTTCCTTCCTTCCTTCCTTCCTTCCTTCCTTCTTTTTCTTGCTTTTGTACAAGAAAGCAGTGTTCCATGTCTACATATCTAGAAATAGATTTACTGTATATTTGTTTATGTTCCCTCCCTTATCTTTTTTTTTTCCTCCTAACATATAGGAGAGACCCTGCCTTTAGCTACATCCAATCAGATCCTCTTGAGGTTTAGTGCCAAGAGTGGAGCATCTGCCAGGGGCTTCCATTTTGTCTATCAAGGTATTTCTCTTAACTTTCAGCTTTCCTAGGTTTTGTTCTCTGTATACAGTATGGCCAAAATACCATTATTTTACTATTTGGAATGGAAAATGCAATATGGTCTGTAATATCATGTAACCTTGTCTACTACCTTTCATTTCAAAAGCTATATTTCTTGTTTTGGAATCTATGAGATTAAAATAATTAAAAAATGGTGTGAGAAATGTATGAAAAATGCATGGTGGATATCTCACAACTTGGTTTCTCACATACAAGATTCTGAACTTGTGAACTGAACCCCACATGTAGAGCATTTGTATGAAAGTGATTCATGCCCAAAGGAGGTAGCAGAAGCAAAGTTCAGGGAATATGCATAGGGAATCCAACCCCAGTGTTTGTTGAATTCAAGACATTTTCTGAGTGTCTGTTTTTGTCTATTGGATTTTAGGGTTGCTGATTCCGCCACCCCTTGTTTTTTCAACATGCAAAACAAACAAAAAGTGGCTTTCTGACCTCATCAGCTATGCAAGATAGGGTTATATTTCCTAGGAGTTTTGGAATTCTGCCCCAAATTAAAAATATCTATAGAAATAATATTGATGTTCCTGTTACTTGTTAAGTAACATGGGTAAGCAGAGCATGACTCTCTGTTTTGTAATACTTTCTGTAAGAACAGTTACAATAATGTTACTTTAGCAAATTATCAATGCAGTTAATGAAAAAATTATTTACATAAGCATTAATCTTGTTTTCTGACAGAAACTTTAATTTCAATATCTTCAATTTAGGTCAGGCTGAGATTATTAACAATACAATCCTATGAATATCTGTTTCCAAAATATCTCAGTCTGTTCAGTGAGAATTTTATGTTAGTATATAAACTTGGATTGCAGCCTAAGGATGAAATCCATGGTAATTTTCTTGGAAATAAGTTGCATTTAATTCAGTTGGATATACAACATTTCTGACTACAGGTGTGTGAGATTCTGCTGGTGTAAGAGAAATATAGGGCAAAAGGGGATAAATCTGTTTTGTTTTGTTTTGTTTACCTATCATACTTACCTGTTTATATATCATTGATGCATTATTTACTATTCCAAATATTTTATTTTAAAAATGTATTTAACATAGGAATTTAAAATTCATATTTGTGTCTGAAATATTTTTATTAAGAGCAACAGTATAGGCAGATTACTTTAGCTTATTTCATCTTCTTAAATAACTCCCAATTTAGTGGTTCAAAAACTGTTCATATTTAATTGCCCCTACATCTTAATATCCTTGAAAGTTGCAGCTCTTGGATCGGTGTTACATTGGCAGAGTATTGATATTTATTCTCCTTGATATGTTCCTCACCTATGAAAGGATAACTGTTCTGCTACTTTGGAAGGATAGAGACATTTTTGAAAATTAGTGTGGGTTTATCTTACTCTTTAACTTTACAAAAGCCTTTGTGCTCCTTCCACTGTCATTCCCATTCTGGTTCAGGAAATGTGATCCAATACAGAGAAAGCAGATAGACTTTAAAAAAGAAAGAAAGAAAATTGGAAATACTATTTGATTCTCCCCCTCCCTCCTGACAAAAGACCCTAAATCATCTAATCCCATATTTTGAAAGAATTCTGCTCTTCCATATATTATTTGAATATATTGCTTTTTATTTGGTTTTCTTCAGTGTCCAGCAGACAACACAGTGCAGCAAAGTGACTGATCCACATTTAAGAAGTTCTTTAAATTAAAGAAGTTTAATATCATGGAATGAAATTTGCTCTTAGTTCTTCTGTGAAGGGAAACTATTTTTTACGTGTTTGAGCAATTAGATATTCAAATGTTATGGTGGCATCTTTTTTTTCCCCTCCTAATTCATTTAAAAGTACAGGTCCAACATAAGAGAGAAACATTTCTTTATCTTATAAAATTGTCCTATTATTGTTTGTTAGAAGTGACATATAAATGCATTGAAATTTTTTGTTTTTTAATTGCTACGTTACAGTATTAGATCATTTTATCTAGCTGCATCTCAAAGTGAAGTAAGTTAGCTTGCTTTATTTATCTTTGGAGACTCTTGCAGCTATATAAGTGTCTATTTTTGGATGGTGAATCCTCTGTAATACTAGTTGTTAAAAGATGTAGACATGGTCATGTGATTTCTAACATTAAATTAGATTAGATTGGCCCTGACCCTACTGGCCTTTTGCTAGATTTTAAAGTTATGGTTTTGTCAATGGGCTTCAGGATTTGGATGTGTGGCAGAACCTGTGCAACGGTTATGTAGATTTGTTAGTGGTGGTTCTGTTTTGTTTTGTTTTTTTATTTACCTTGGCTGCTGATTATAGAGGGAGGACTGGAGGAAGAGCTGCTACCAAGGCAACAGTCAGATAAAAGGGGCCTGAGCCCAGGTCAAGAAAGTAACTTGAGTCAGACAAGACCCTTTAAGTTCAAGTTTACATGAAGAGAAAAGGAGGAGGGGGGAGTGCATTCAGACTTGCAAGATTCTGTTACTATAACTATTACAATAAAAGTAGTACTGACTTACATGTATTTTATGATATTCTTAACTGTTGTTAGCTGACCAGAATCATGACCTTGAGATTGGTGGTCATATAAATGGAATGCATGCGTGCATGCATGCATGAACAAGCAAGCAAGCTACCAAGATTGCAAATTCCCAAATAGTGACAGCTAGCTAGCTAGCTATCACTACTTGGGAATTTGCAATCTTCTTGGGGAATTTCTCAATGTTTAAATACCTTCGACAGCCACATCCACATTTCTGAATGAACACTTTTAATCTGGCCTACAAAATGAGTCCTTGTATTTATCTCCTAGTATTCCAGTCTGATTTGTTCCATGTTCACTTTTCCACTAGACTGACTTCTATTTTGTTTCATAGCATTGAAAAATAAAGAATAATTACTGTAGAAAATGCACTTGATGTCTGATGCTATTTAAGACTAGCTTGTCAATACTAGAGTTTAGAATTAGATTGAGGATTAGGAGGAGAAAAAGAAGGTCTATAGCTAACATGATTGCATATTCTGAACAGAATTGTTACAAGATTCGATTTCTATCCTTAGATTTTGATATAATGGAGGTTTTTAATGCCATTTTCTCTATTATGTATTTCATTTTCTGTCACAAAAGCTATCTTCCTTTTTCTCATAGATGCATTTTTCTATATATCATAGTGCACAGAAAGTTATGATTAGCAGTAGCTGTGCCACAAATGGTGAGCTCACTTCTGCAAAAACCCACATTATTGATATTTTGTGATGTTAAAGTTAAATGCCCTCACATTTTCAGCACAATTGTGTTTTAAATTGTGTTTTGAATTTGCATTCATTTCCATTATTATACTTGATTTGCTTACTTACTATAGTAATTGAAATGGTACTGCATAAGACATTAATGTATAAATCCATATAAAAATGCGTTATACATTGCTCTGATGAAAAGCAACCAACCATCCACAATTTCAGAGCTTCCTCTAAAATGTCTTTCTTTCTAAGGGCCTGTGTTCACTAAAGTTTGACTGAATGTTGTAATATGGTTTTCCATCAGTTCTTGATGATGTTGATGATTGGATTTGGTATCCACTGGCAACTGCAGCTTTTTCAATGGTGGTCATTTATCAGTGATCATTACATATGATCAGATCAGCACATAATGACAGGGTTATAAGAAATTAAAGTGAAAAGGATTGTGGGATACTGCCAGATGTGGGTTGTAGGAGGAAGATTTTGAAGGGAGAGTGGAGGATGGATTCTTCTGTTTATAGATTTATTAGTAAATCTTGAGATTCATCTGGCCATTTCTGACTTTTTCACAGTACAATTCTTTTTAACTGAAGACAGAATATAAAAGAAGGATGCAATTCATGTGTCTGATGCTTCTTCAGTTTCTACTGTTGAACTTTCAGGCAAGCTTATGACCTGGAACCTGAGCAACCTCAGTAACTAATCTCACAGCAGTCTCTCCAACTGATTGTTATCTTAGAGAACTAGGCAAAGTGCACCAAGGAAATTGTGTTTTATAATGATTCAGTCTCTGTGTATTACTCGATGTTGCAAGATAGATAGATAGATAGATAGATAGATAGATAGATAGATAGATAGATAGATAGATAGATAACATTCAGAGCAATAGCATTTACTGAATAACCATCAAAATTCTAAGTAGCATTGTATCTGTTCCCATGGACATTTCTGTTTTTCTTTAAAAAGCAGTATGATAATCATTTGAGGGTTGATTGAGGCATTGTTAATGTTAATAGTTATTGCATGTACTATTTGCTCAGATTATATAAAATTAAAGAACAGTTGCTTAAGAGGATGATTTTTAATATCTTGCATCTATCTGACCTAGATATTCAGAGCAATAAGGGCTTAGTCCAACTATGGCTTGTTTGGGACTGTGCAATGTGCTGTAATGTGGCTGCTACTGTTGCTACAGGATAACATTTGAATTAGGAAAGGAATATTTCTGCATAACTAAGTATTAGAGGAAGAAGAAATGCATAGCCAATCACTGAAATGCAGCACTGTTCATTTTTCCATTACTTTTAGTAGAAGCCATCAGCACAATCATATCATATCATTTTGCAATGGAGAATTCTATTAGTACAAGCCAGGGCCAGTTCCAGGATTTTTCGAAGACTTAGACATTAGGATCAATAGGCCTCTTAGTTCTTTTCCTTTCATATTTTGGGGAAACATAGTAGTATAATAATGGCATACTATTTTTCTGGTGGTGTTCTTTCATACTATTGATATTCTTAGTATATGGGAGTGCAATGGGCTTTGATTCAACCCAAGCAAAACTGAGTGGCCTTCCAATAATAAGGTTTTTCCACCATTTGTCCTGGATGAGGTGCCACTGCCCCAGATGGACCCAGTGGCAATCTGGTGGGGTGGGGGGGTCCTTTAGACTCATGGTTCCTACTAGAACAGCAGGTGGCAGCCATGGCTGGGAGGACCTTTACACACCTTCAGGTTGTGCACTAGTTGTGCCTGTTCCTGGACCAGGAGGCTTTGCTAACAGTCACTCATGCCCTCGTGACCTCTTGTCTAGATTACTCCAATGCGCTGTACATGGGGCTACCCTTGAAGGGCATTTGGAAGCTTCAGCTGGTACAGAATGCAGCTGCACAGATACTCAACACATGTAACACCACTGCTACATGAGTTGCATTGGCTGCCAGTGTGCTTCTGGGTGCAATTCAAGGTGCCAGTTGCACCTTTAAAGCCCTTCATGGATTGGTCCCTGGTTACTGAGGGATCATCTTCTCCCAGTTGTTTCTACCCATCCAATTTGGCCTGGCAGGTTGGGCAGTAATGTTGGCTGGCGAAGACTAGGAGAGTGCCTTCTCTGCCGTAAACCCTGACCTCTGGAGCATTCTCCCTCCAGAGATTAGGATGACCCTGACCCTATTGGCCTTCCGTAAGGCCATGAAGACCTGGTTATATGCCCAGGCCTGGGGCCCCTAGTGTGTTAAGGGGCCTGTTTCTTGGCTATATTAACATCTATGGTAATAGTTTTACTCAGTGACCATATATATTTATTTGTATTGTTTTAATTGTTTTATGTTTTT